CATCCAGGGCTTGTGGGGTCGCCGAATGAGGTGGCCGCGCTAAGAAGACATGGACACAGTTGACACGGTCGGGCAAACCAAACATCGTGTGCATTTATTCAACTACTTTTACAAACGACGATATCGCCAGCCAAACCAAACAAAAACTCATTTAGATGCGATCTCGCGTAACACTAAAAAACGCTGGTGTAAGAGAATACAGCCACTCCAGGTAGACTGTTGGCACAGTTTTTTTTCCCCTTGTTGAGACCGCAGCCCGTAGCAGCTCCCGCCTGTTGTGGGGGCACAAGGCGCGCGCTGATCGTTGCCGCAATAGCGCGGCAACTATAAAGGCCAAACCCCATAACCACGAAAATGCTCGCGACAGCGACGAGCGACGCGACGTAGAATGCCTTCGCGCGAACAGTCGCTAGCGCAGGCAAACCTCATTCGCGCGACGGCTTCGGCGAGCGAACTCCACTGTATCTGGCGTGAGGCCGTCTACTCGTACCAATAATTCCGCGTAGTCGGCAACATGCAATGTAGAAATAAAATGTGTTGTTGTATAATAGAACGGATGGGGCGTATTATTGCCTTGCAGCACTTCTTTTATATGAACGTGCATAAACAATGCGCTGTGCACACATGACTCGGGCAAAGAGGAGCATGAGAGGAGGTGGTGGTTTCCCGGCACATGGAGAGAACCGGATACTTCAGTCAGGAGGGATGCTGCGCCTCCCCAGCCTACAGCCGCTGCGGCGACCCCGAGACCCTCGAGCACCTCCTCTGTGCCTGCCCTGCCTTGGCCCAGGAACGCTCGAGGGTCACCGCAGCCTACCGGAGACATGGCCTTCCTGCTACCACCCTAGAGCACCTACTGTTCCCATCTCGTTCCCATCTACCAGCGCTCCGGAGCCTGGTGGAGTTCCTGGACGAGACGGGAATCGTGGCCTACCGCTGAGGATGGGCCCCTTGCCACCCCTACCCTTGCTTCTGGACTGCTGCTTCTGTCGATGACAACCGTTCCACTGCTCAATTAATCTTTCCTCTTCTTTCCACTTTTCTCCCTTTTCCCTTCCCCACAGGCACTGCGCCGTGCTCCCGACCGTGTTGCAGAAATTAGGTGCCTTTTCTCATTTTCTAACCACTACCATTACCAGTCAGGTACATCCTGTTCCGGCGTTTTTGGCACAGCACTTCTGGGCGATGGGCGACGGTTTCCAAATCTGGAGAACCGAGCGATCGCGCGAAAAACTACCACGCGATACATCGCGCGAACGCCCTGTTTCGTCGCTCATAACATAACTCGTCGCTGTCGCGTGCATTTTCGCGTTTATGGGGTTTGGCCTTCAAAGTTCGAAGTAGTCGATTTCCTAAACAGTTCCACTCGGACGACTTTTTCTAACATGTCTACGCTCCGAGATATTCGGCTGCAGTTGCAGTTTGCATGATTACACGCGCTGAGCAGTGAGAGAGAGAGAGCAATTTTATCGAGGTTCACTACCGACGTAGGGGGGAGTGTACCCCGCGCCCACCCGGCTATTCCCACGAGGGTACCCACAGGCCTAGCCAGCGGGCCCTGTCGCGGGCGTATCAGACGGCCAAGATTTGAGACTATAGTGCAGCATGGCTTACAGCTAAACAGTGACGATCGTCGCAAAATACGTCCCTGCCGTTATGCGCCATTTCTTGATACCGCCAGCTGGTGGTAAAATGGGTAACATCTTTTGTTAACCTTCCTGCCTTTTCCTCATTTTATTCTCTCTCATCTTTGATTATGCTTTCGACCCGCTGTCAGATGAAACATCACATGCAACTGCCGTAGCTTTGCGCCAGACTTCACCGTCGTGTGTGATCATGCACACCGCAAATTAAACTTTACATCCGCACACCCAAGTAAAAATGAGTAGGCACATGACTGCCTCCAAACTTTTGGCACAATAATACGATATAATACCTGGGCTTTAACGTCTCAAAATCACTGTATAATTATGAGAGACGCCTTAGTGGAAACTCCGGAATTTCCACCGCCTCGTGTTGTCTAACGTGCGCTTACATCCCACAGTACAGGGGCCTCTACCATTTCGCCTCAATCAAAGTGCGACAGCCGCCGCCGGGATCGAACCCACGGCCTTCGAGTCACAGCCGAGCACTGCAACCACTACACCACTGTTATGAACAACTTTCATTACAAACATAGCGCCTTATAAAATTGATTATATCTCAGTTTATATTTCTAGTTGATTGCGAGCCTGACAGTGATAGTTAAAACCTTACTTCATGTCCCCTTGGATATATAACTGATTCCCAAATATGGTCTTCGTGTACCTCTCACAGCTGAATGAAAGAAGAAATGTTTATATATATATATATATATATATATATATATATATATATATATATATATATATATATATATATATATATATATATATATATCATCAGCCTGACTACATCCACTGTAAGACAAAGGCCTCTCCCATGTTCAGTCTGCCCACCTAACCTTCTGTCTTCCCCTAACCCGCCGGCCTTCTCTGGGAATCCAGTTAGTTACCCTTAATGACCAGCGGTTATCCTGTCTACGCGCTACATGCCCGGCACATGTCCATTTCCTCTTCTTGATTTCAACTATGGTATCCTTAACCCCCGTTTGTTACCTAATCCACTCTGCTCTCTTCTTGTCTCTTAAGGTTACACCTAACATTTTTCTTTCCATTGCTCGCTGCGTCGTCCTCAATTTAAGCTGAACCCTCTTTGTAAGTCTCCAGGTTTCTGCTCCGTACCTAACTACCGGCAAGATACAGCTGTTATATACCTTCCTCTTGAGGGATAATGGCAATCTACCTATCATAATTTGAGAGTGCTTCCCAAATGTACTCCACCCCATTCTTATTCTTCTAGTTACTTCAATCTCATGGTTGGGCTCCGCAGTTATTACCTGCCCTAAGTAGACATAGTCTTTCACAACTTGAAGTGTACTATTACCTATCTCGGAGCGCTGCTCTCTTCCGAGGTTGTTGTACATTACTTTCGTTTTCTGCAGATTAATTTTAAGACCCACCTTTCTGCTCTCCTTGTCTAACTCCGTAATCATGAGATGCAATTAATCCCCTGAGTTACTCAGCAATGCAATGTCATCGGCGAAGTGCAGTTTACTAAGGTACTCACTATTAACTCTTATCCCTAACTGTTCGCATTCTAGGCTTTTGAAAACCTCCCGTAAGCACGCAGTAAATAGCATTGGGGAGATTGCGTACCCCTGCCTTACACCCTTCTTGATTGGTATTCTGTTGCTTTCTTTATGAAGCACTATGGTAGCAGTTGATCCCCTGTAGATTTCTTCCAGGATGTTTATATATACTTCATCGACGCCGTGATTATGCAGTGTCTGCATAACGGCTGATACTCCTACTGGATCAAACGCCTTCTCGTAATCTATGAAGGCTATGTATAGTGGTCGGTTATATTCTGAGCATTTCTCTATTACCTGATTGATAGTATGAATGTGGTCGATTGTTGAGTAGCCTGTTCGAAATCCTGCTTGTTCCTTTGGTTGATTGAATTCTAATGTTTTCTTTACTGTGCTAGCAATTACCTTTGTAAATAGCTTGTATACTACAGAGAGCAAGCTGATCGGCCTGTAATTCTTCAAGTCCTTGTCATCTCCTTTCTTATGTATTAAGATGATGTTAGCATTCTTCCAAGACTCTGGTGCTCTTTCCGTCAGGAGACACCTCGTAAACAGGGTGGCTAGTTTTTCTAACACAATCTGTCCTTTATCTTTCAGCAGATGTGATGTTACCTGATCCTCACCAGCAGCTTTGCCTCTTTGCATGCTCTCCAAAGCTTTTCTGACTGCTTCTATCATTACTGGTGGGGTGTCATCTGGGTTACTGCTAGTTCTTCGACCACCTGGGGTTCTTTAACGTGCACCCAAATCTGAGCACACGGGCCTACAACATTTCCGCCTCCATCGGAAATGCAGCCGCCGCAACTAGGATTTGATCCCGCGACCTGCGGGTTAGCAGCCGAGTGCCTTAGTCACTAGACCACCGCGGCAGGGCAAGTTCTTATAGTATTAAGCTCGTGGTTGTCCCGGCTACTGTACAGATCTCTGTAAAACTCCTCCGCTATTTTAACTATCCTATCCATATTGATAGTTACTTTGCCTTCTTTGTCCCTTAGTGCATACATCCGATTTTTGGCTATCCCAAGTTTCCTCTTCACTGCTTTGACGCTTCCTCCGTTTTCAGAGCGTGTTCAATTCTCTCGATGTTATACCTTCTTACATCGTAGTATACCTTACACCTATTAATCAACTATATATATATATATATATATATATATATATATATTTATATATATATATATGAGAGGTTACAGCTTAATGAACCTGTATATGGGATGATGATCAGCAGCTTTTTTTTTACTGGACGCATCCTCTGGGATGCTATTCGAGTTTTCTTTTGCACTTTGCCTTGTACCAAGATGAGCACCTAGTTTGAATATAGTGCTGCACAATATGTACAGCAACATCCAGGAGCCTGGTGACTCAATGGCTAATGTCATCAGAACAATGACGATAATGACCAGCAGTGAGAAACGACTGGATTTACAATTGGTACCAGTTCTACACCGAACTTTACCATGCTGCAAATGTCATTTCCAATTACACCCATATTAATGAATACTAGATATTTGTGTCACTTGAGCCCAGTGGAGTGGAGGTGTCTTTCAAATACCTGTTAAAGCACAAAAAGATGATGATGCAAGAAGACAAGGCACACAGGACAAGCACTAGTCTCATCTTCTTTAACTCCTTGTGTTATCATTTCTTTGTCCCTTGACACAAATATGCAATCTTTTATACATGCCTGAATTCTCGTTCACTAAGAAGTCTTCAAAACAGCAAACTTGGAGATCCACAAATGAATCGCAAACAAAATGCAATACAGCACAAATGTGGCATCCAGGCCTTATCCAATTCCCTTTAACAAGATTGTACACGCCAATCAAGAGGATGCATGTATGCATAAAAATCTTTATTCCAAAAAATTAAACAGCGGCACATTAAGTACACTCACTCCTCATGAATAATGTGTGTGGAGTTCTATCCATCGTTGTAATACTTAATTTCAACGCTTCATTTATTCTATAGCTACCACATTGTTAAAGTGTAAACAGGACAGTATAAATATAAACACTGTACTGTTACTCCAGCACAGTGAATTTGGCACCAGTAACGTTCTACATCACACATACACAGCCTCCCTGAATGATTCCTACTTACACTGTGCTGGATACACTGCACTTCCACACATTTTCTAACCCTGAATATACATCTTGGGAATGTTTCCCTCAATAAGCATTACACCTGAAGCTTTTATTTTTTTCAAGTTCTTCGACAGAGGTGTTTGATCACTTCTAGCACTCGACCTTGCCCTCGAGGCACTGGAAAATGCAAAAGTTTACCTCAAAAACTCGTGGATTAGGTTTCAAAAACATGCACTGCACTTAACCAGCACTGCATAAGTCAAATCATTTGCTAAGAATGTTACTGCAGTTCAAATACTAATGCACAACTGATACAGAATATAAAGGTTCTCAATTGCTTTGTTAAATAACTTTCATAAGCATTGTGCCACTTAAAATATCAACACACTTCTTAGCAAGGAATTAAAAACAGCAACAAACGTTGAAACCACAATTTTTTTTTCTGCACAATGATAAGGTCTGTAAATATATGAGGTCAACTATCATGCACAGCTTCATATTTCCCGATATGAATCAGATGATGTCATGCATACACTTAGTCGTCTATCAAAAAACTAATATAGCCCTCAGTGGTGGTACAGCTGTCATTAACACCTTGTAGAATGAAGCTCTTTAATTAATTTATCCCCCTAAAACCCTTTCATACAATAAATGAGTGCAAAAGTGGCATGTAGATATATTTTATATAATGGACTATCAGTTACAAATTTGTTTTTGCCAAAAGTGTATCTTGCTACTAGGTTTTTACATCATAATCTGCATGAAGATCTTTCGAGTGTTCCAGCACTGCAGTGAGCATCAGCAACCTATCTCCCTGCTCAGCTACAACACAGCATTATTCCTTCCAAGTCACACATTTTGACCATTCAATCCAGCAAGTGACTTTCAACAAAGAAAAAAAAACACAAATGTATGACAAAGATGCATTTGGTGAAGCAATTTCGTTTAAATATTCTACCATGATATATTAACTTAGGACAGTTACCTGAAAAAAGTCTAAGAATCGGGCACTTATTCTAGAACAGAATCTACAATATTAGTACAAACCAAGGCTTAGAGTTCATATCCTGTAGCTCATCAAAATTCATGGTGGACATAAAATTAAATCAAGAGAAACTGTGTTTTTTATTTTTTGTACACCGAATAAACTCAGGCAGAAAATATTTGCTATAAGCAAATTTCACAGAATAGCCAGTTTTTTTTTTATAGATGACACAATCACACGGTGAAGAGACACACTGAGGTTCATGTATGAATAAATAAAGAACGAGGAGGCCCTTACAGAGTTGACATGCCTTACTGTGTAATGTAATAAAGACAGACAATACGGACTTCACTGGTGCAAGAGGCAATTTAAGTAAATTATGAAAAGGTATAAATAATGAGCTATCCTGAAAAGTTTAGATTTCACTAATAAATACAACACACAACAGAGCACGGATACGGCTGATTTAAGGAATGTGAGGTGGCACCTTCAAACTTCTTGGCCATACGTGACAGTGCTAAAGTGTTTGTAAAATACTAAACTTGGAATATGTCACAAAAGATGGCGTTTCAACTCATGTCCAGAGCACTCAAGTGAGAATGTGGTCATGAACCAGGCGAGGCCATGGAACACTGCTGTGAAGATGATCATTCCCATGGCAAGCAAATAATGGCTGATCGACATTCCAATGTCAAGCCAACTGCCACTGTCTTTGATGAAAAAAAAGAAGTGCTGGAAAAAGATACAAATAAATTTATGCAATGGCATGCTACGGCAAGAAGCATGAATGCCATGCAGATGTGTGTGCATGTGTATATAAAGTAAAATTCTTAGAATATCATTCCATGCTAGTAATACATGGGATAACAAATGCACTATCATAAACAATATGGGCTGGAACACCGAATTCAAGTTAATTCAACAATTTTTTTTCTTATGCAGTGATATGAGCATGAGATATTTAGTATTTGCCAGAGACACATTTCAGCTTCAGAATTTAGTGCCATGGGGCCACTTTTGCACTTGCCAGCTGTGCTTAGCCACTATAATTTTTAAAGAGCGATATCAGTGTTCTTTATCATTTGCTCAAAGCAAGGCAACAAGGTATGCAGGTGAAAAAAAAAAAACTACAGTACACCCAAAATGGTTGGTGGCAAAAACATTTTAAAAGGGGTCCTGGACCCCTTTTTAAGAAACCATCTAATGAGAGCAGTAATGAGGTTAGTGAGTGCTCCATGAGCCAACTGCTGCAAAAAGTTCTCGAACTCATCAAGAATGAGGGGAGTTAGAAGAATTCGTTGCACACTTTAAGCGCTTTCTTTTCCCTCTCATTCCGGGGAACATGCTGGAAGCTACATGGGGAGGGATGTCTAAGGAAAAAGAAGAAATATCAGCATGCGTCCTAACCTTGAGCATGCCTGATGAAATGTAATCACTCTTTTCTGTTGTGATTCGTAATAGTGCAAGTGTTAACAGACCATTGACCATTGAATGTTAACAGACCATTGACCATGGCGCTGGCAAGTGGCACCTCATGGTGAGCACATTCAATCTAAACAGTGCTCTCGGTTTATGTAGAAAATCCGCGAATGGCAGCAATAAGCTGTATTACAAAATACGGTAGACGCCCCACCCCGCTCACTGAAGAGAGTCTGCTAGAAAAAGTTGAAACTTCACATTCTACTTATAAACGCACCTTGCCACACATGACTGAAAGGTTCGGCTGAGTTGTTCAGAAGCCTGAGCTGTGGTTTATGACCCCTTTAATTAAACAAACTGACAGACAATAATGTCTGCAAAGAAAAAAGCCAACAGTATGCTAGCAGTGCTTACCAATGCAGTGAAGTCTGACAAGACAACGACTAGAAGGAAGAGGGCCGTGTTCGATACCTTAATTGACTGTAGAAGGGCTCGAAAGGCACAGCTCACTATGAGTAACGGGATCAAGACCTGCACAGAAGAAAAAAGACTGATTTGAAAGCTGTTGAAGAAATATGAACATGGTCAACAATAAAACACATTCGAACCCATTTATAAGAGCTTCCAATCTAAGAGACACCCGAGTGCCTTCATTGAAGCTGGTGTGAATAAGAAAACACATACATGATACCCTGCTTGTAAACGACACCTCATACAAAAGACAAGAATTGCAGCCCAGTGCATGTCTCTTATAAAGGGGTTCAACTGTACTGTCACCATTTTCAACATTTTCAGAAAGGACGAGAATGAAACTTCACAGTACTCATGTGAAGTAAAAGACCGTCTTGGACAGCACAATTTGAGGTTTCCTGTCTATAGTTCGCAATTGCAATCTAAAAATAGCAGTGTGATTTAGTAAGCACATCAGTGAAATTGAATGACATCCTGACCTTCCTTTACTCACTGGAAGGCATTATATTGGTAAACAAATGAAACAAAAATACTATACTGAGTATACTTAACTCATCATATTTCTCTCACACGTAACAATGCTAAGTGAGTATAGCACACCTATCTAGACTTTTCTGAGCATTTGTGGTTTTCATGCTCACTAAAAGCAAATCCAATGTTTTATAATATTAATGTACGACAATCTTGGCAACTTGCAATAACACTTTAAAGCTGTATGAAATCAATCTTATCCGTTATATCATTGTGACCTATTTTGCCGTATGTTATGATCAGTAATCTAAAGTAGTCATCATAAGAAACATATTTCCAACATTTTTGGTACAGTGTTCCCCAGCATCACTATGTCCATGTCCCTGTGGCAACCTTATGAATATAGCAAAGTTTTCAGCCTGCTCTTTACACTTTGGATGGCAACTAATAAAAATATTGTGAGGAGCACTTAAAGGGCCCTGCAACACTTTTTAAGCATAGTCAGGAGATGCTGATGATAGGTAGTCACGGCTTATGAGAACATGGGAGCCAAATATAGCACAGCACGCGGCCTGGAAATTACAATAAATTCTCAAACTCGGCTAAAAATCCCTTTCTCTTCTCTTGACAAATGATGCTACATACCGTAAAACGCCGAGCGAGTGCCCCACTCTCTTTTTTGGGAGATCTGAAATAAGCACCAATGACCGAGAAAGCCCCCCTTCCCCAACGAGCCAACACCTGAGGGCAACATTCGAAAACTGTTTTGGCAAGATGTCCTGTGCTTAGTATTTCAGGCTTGGGCAGCCGTTTTGGTAGAAACAGTGACTCGATGGTTCACCAGGTGAGGCATATCTAATGCACTAGATGATTTGGAAGATGGTGTGCTGCTTTCCAGGCTGTCTGGTATCGGCAATTTACCACCAGAAGACTGCAGGTCTCTGCAGGCCCAAAGCCCAAAGTGTGCAGTCTTCGAGCACCTTGCCGCCAATAATGCCCCGCTGCTCGCCATTGTCGATCACATGAGTCGAAGAGTCGAGTCTCACTCTTCAAATAACGTCAGTTTCCCTCACTGATTCGGCACAATAAATTATTAAAAAAAGCATGCTTTTGCACGTTTTTCGAGTGCCACGATTGGCTTATCACGTGGTACGGATCGGGGACCATCATTGGCCGCTGCGTGCCTGTATGTGCTGTGAAGCCTACTTGCAGGGTCCATGTCTTGTCGAGCAGCACAGCTGAACAATGCTTTTCTCTTGTATTTATCTCCGTTATGAATGAAAAAAGCCATTACTCGCGCGTGAAAGCTGTTGTAGCGACGCAGTCTGTAGGAATAGGCTACGAGCAGCGGGTCCGCATTGCGGCATTTGTTGGCTTGCAAAAGCCAATGCATCAAAAGACATGCACAGCCATCAGCCGGAAAGTTCGTGATGTGGCAATGGATGATGTCAGTGCCACTCTTGCAAGGTCGAAGGAGCTCACAGTGACGAAGCTTAGCGGGGATGACATTGCCATTATGTACTACGGGATGTGGCACAAACGTGGCCGCAAAATGACATCGGCACTGTTGTGTCCCTCAACACTGGACTTAGTTTAGATTTCGCAGTCCTGTCGTACTTCTTCCTAGCTTGCAGTCAGCACAAAGCTCTGCCAGATGAAGTGGAAGAAGTTTGACAAGCGTTTCATGGCCCTGTCTGTGAGCGAAATGTCTGTGAGGAGTCGGCTCGAAAAAGCCGAGAAAGACAAACTGATGGTGCTGGCGTATTTTAGTGGCAGTGGCCAATACAAGAAGGATTGTTGTTTTTGATGTGAAAATTTCATCGTATTTCTAGACATCTTTTATTTGCCACTTTTTTCAATGTGCCTCTACATTTTCGGGCACGTCTAGTGCTCAGATCTGCATGAAATTTTGCCCAAAATTTTTCCAAAGTATGACAAATACAATTATCTAGTTTAAATTTTATTATTTTATTTTATAATAGAAAAATGCATGTAAACCTTTACTAGGATAGGTGAAATATGGTCTTTTTTACATCTATTATTTTTCATTCCTATTACGTATTTTGTATGTGCTTACTAATTAGTTATTTGTATTCTACAATTTATTTGAAACATTATCAACTATGAATGATAAAAAATTATGGAAGTTTAGGGATGAAAAGAGGGGGGGTGGCAAAAGGGTTAAGGTTTTCACTTTGTCATTTCGCAGAGCTAAAAGTGAGCAACTTGCAAGAAAACTAATTATATATTTGAAATCAGCACAAAAATTTCCATAAACAGCTCAAGTTTCACTATTCTAGGGTGAACATTAAAAAGAAGTGTCTTCGAGTAGCATCTCCCCTTAACTAACTGAAATGCATTGCTGAAGTTTTGAAGTTTTGTAAACACACGTACAGCACTTTCTACAAAAGCCCCACCAGCACCATAACAGATGATTCACTATCTGAGAAAAAACGATGACAGAACCTTGATCAGCAGGATGGCAGCCATAGTGAATGGTCGAAATACTGTCATGAAACAGTAGAAGCTTGATATGGAAAAGCTGCAACGAAAGACGTTCATGTGAAAACAGCAGTAAACAATCTTCCCATATCTAAAGGTGTGCTCGACAAATATTCAATAAGGCTGAATTTGATGTTTCAATGTATGTACCTCTGAATACAGCTAGGCTAAAATATATTTCCTATGTCAGTTAGCAAATAGCATTGATATTAAGTTTATGCCTTGTTCATGGCACTTAGATATACATGAAAAATACTAATTTTATTAACTTCTCAAAATTTCAAGAGGGACTCACCTGTTCAGACTGGCAATGTTCCCAGTGCCATAAAATGCAACAAGCATAAAGAAAATCTGTATGATAGCTCAGTATATTTAACAGAGACACAAGCATCAAAGCAATAAAATCAAAGCAACATAAGCGACACTAGTTTCATGCAAACAAAAATGATTTTGAAAATTTAATTGTAGCAAATATGTAAAGGTGTACTGACACAAAAACTTTGGCCTCGCATTTTTTTTTTTTCGGCAATGCGTTCCTGTGGGCCTGTTAGTCATAACTCGACACATAAATTACTGCAGCGCATCACAGATAATCAATTACGAGCTCTTCATTACAGACCAGCGTCAGTTTTAATTTCAAAAACGACGAGCCTCTGGGTGCAACTACACTCAAATCTCAATATAACGTAACAGGGTGTAACAAAATAATGAATATAACAAAGTAAATGAAATTTCCCTTGACAGCTTCATTGAGAACCATGCATTTTAAACCTCGTCGTAATGAAGTAAAATTGATCGGTAGATGGATATAATGAGCTAAATTAGTCTATCAAAAAAAAAAACCAGCCTGCATGTGTTACATATATTGTTTTCTGTGGAGTTTAACGGTCGTTTGGCACCACTCTTTCAAAACTCCCGCGCCGACCTTACGGCCACGCCCCGCGCGGCCAGAGAACCGTCCTCCTCACACAGCCAGCGGAGACAATTGAGGAAGCGCTCAGCGGACCACATGATCGAGAAGCGGCGCTGCGGTGCAAAACGATTTCCCTCTGACAACGGCAACGCCTGCGTCTCCGTTGACACCACCCTTACTGATACCTCAAACAGCACCAAACGGCCAACCCCATCTGCAGCGCCCACCAATAATCAATATAACGAAATAATGGATATAACGAAATAATTGTGGCTCCCCTTGAACTTCGTTGTAACGAGGTTTGAGTGTATTACCACCTAGCGGGTGCAACTTTCAATGACATCAGCACAGAGAGCAGGAACCTCATTCCCCACGGTCCACATCAAAAGTTTTTTCGAAGAGAAAACGGGACAGCCATGTCGCCAAACACAAAACTCTGAACGCGTGCGTTGCGGCCAAGGACTTGCGAGCAGCTGCCGAGTAATCGTTTGCTGGTCTGAAGGCAGCAAAAGAAAAATGGCGGCTATGACATTATCCTAACTTGTTGCAGCGTGGTCATGTGAAGAAAGTAGAGAGGGTCACTAAGGGTCACTTTTGAGCGTGTCAATAGTGCGAGGGAGCTGACTACTCACACAAACTTCAAAATTAATTTAAAATGCCTTCTAAGCTGTGTTTGCAGTTGATATCTTGCAGATGATATATGCATGTTCACGGGAGTCTGTCCTGCAGACTATCTAGGCCACGAAATTTTTTGTCAGTACCCCTTTGAAGAATATTTTACTGCTAAATACTACTGCGCAAAATTGGTGCCAATGCCTCCCCAAAGGGTGGCAGTATGGGTGCACAATCTACTAGGTTACACAAAAGGATACAAAGAAGTAGGCCTTTCGGATATCATCAATTCGTATATGATATGTTACAACCTTTGTTTGTGATGAAGCATCTAGAGACTCAAAAGTCATGTCTTGTAGCTGCAAGAGCAAGAGCAAGGAGGAAAATTATGTTCTTGTTTTTTAAGACCCCTACTATTCATGAGGAGTGAAGTGTTGCACATAAACGTACCCTCAGTGTAGAGCCTGAAAGCTGGTGTTCAATGCAGATCCAGAGAAACATCACAAAGCATAATGCCATAAAGAACAGGCTTTCGTAGCTGAAGCAAAATTAAGGCTTAATGTTGTGCACTACATTCAATATAAATATGTATACAATGCAAAGCATCAAGCTTTTATAAGAACAACCATTCAACAGAAATCACAATAATGCATATGCATACACAAACTTGCGTAAGTCGAAGAATGCTGCACCATGAGCACTGAATAGTACACACATTTTGCCAACAATAACCTAAAATAAAATTAGTGAAAGTTCTTACATAATTACCTGCATCATTTGACTAATAAACAATATGGCACCATTGTCAAATTGGCTGACACTAACTTAAAAGAGCAACTCAGGGCTAATGGCAAAGTTGCAGTAACACCACAGATGTCTGTCGGGGAGTTTGGAAAGTTGATAATATCTACAAATATGGCTCAGCTAAGCCATGATGCATATGCTACACTCTTGCTTGCCAATCTATACGTGTAAATTCACTTTAACTGAGTTCATCTTAATGCAAGCCTGCTGTGAATTCACTATGTAAATGGCCTTAATATTCCATCAAGAAAAAAAAAAGATACAAGATGCACATCAGAAGAAATGGAACCAGCAGTGACAATGTTAGGTTCTGCAGCCTGTTCAAGAGACTTGTGGTTGAGAAGAGGCATAAAACTGGGGAAAGAACTGCAAAATAAACAAGCAGAAGTAAGAATTAGTCAAGTTTTCAAGCAAGAGCAGTGGTGTTTACTGATATACCATCTGATATGTATGACCTTATTCACAGTTTATAACTTTTTGCACACACTTACACAGTATAAATTCACTTGCAAAGCACCAGTACTTAGAAGCACTACCTTCATATTTGCAAACACTCGTTTAGTTACACGTAAAGGCAACTTCTCATAAGGAGAGCTTAAGGTAAAGAGTGAGAAGAGTTAAAGAGACTTTTCAAAAGTCCACCGTAGGACATTATAAGGGCACCTTGCAAAAGGCACCCATATCCGAATTAGTGACTGACATTTGAATGAGGCTATGCACATGTTTATTATTTGTCTATGCATGTGCGTAAAATTTATTCCTACAACAAAACGTTAATTAAAACTGTCCATGGGCACTCCTGCAAACAAGTGCCATTAACATTAGGCAGGCAGTTTACCCGTCAGTGACTTTACTTTGTTTGCGGGAGGCAGCATTAGCCGTCAGAATAACATGCTAACTCGAGCTTCATGTAGTTGCAAGCAGCGTGCTTGCATGGGCCCCTGACATCATTCAACATTAACCCAGTCTTCACTTATGGCTGTGCAAAGGAAGCGGAGTGTTCCTCCAGCTGTGGCCAGACAGTTTAACTAGCACATTTTCACACCGAGGTCCAACTGTAGAAATTTAAAGGTAATATAAAAAAAAGGGAAGCCTGACTACATCATGAAAGTGACTGCGACAGGCGAGTTCCTATTCTCTCTGCTCTATTTCACTACTTGCTACTTTAGTAGAAATAAGCAATTTTCTGCTGTAAATCACTTTTAGCTCAAGGGCTGATTTTGTGCCATATGTAATGACTACTTATAAAATCGATGGTAACAAAAAGTCACAGTTCTGCTGTAAGGGTGACAGGATGAATGCAATAACAACTAATTGGGATGTTATATGAAGGTTAGCATCCGACCTGGTGAAACACAACAAAACACTAATGTAACAAAACACGCGACTACTGAGAGCAAAGCGACTTTCATGCTATTTATCGCTCTACAAGATCAGTGCTGAGAAGCCCTGATCTTTTATTATTATTATTATGTTTTGCAATCCATGCATTGTGGGCTTCACATTGAATGAAGACATACTACAGTTAGACACAATCCGTAGAGTGTCTATTATGTAAGTATGCAGCTACTCTACTTTTGCAAGAAAGGGTGCCTGACCCTTTGTAAATTTTACTGTTTCTGAGCAGCGCAGGTTGCAGACGAGATCGCCACTGACACATTTATGAGTGACGCTTGTTTATTTGCAATGCCTGCACCTGGTGAAAAGCCCTATAGGAACACAATCTACAGCACATAATCACTAGCCTTATCTTTTACCTTATCGGATATATTCTAGGCCACTCAGATCACCCTTCATGTCCACAGCACACCACTCCATGCTTTTGCCCAAAGAATCACAAGAAGCAGCTAAGCATACACAGTCCATGCACATGGTCCATTCACTGAGTTTTTTTTTTTTTACCTGTTTATCATTACACCTGTTTTTAATGTAACATATGTCTACATAGCTGTAAAACTATTCACATACCCAGCAGAAGCCATGACAATATTTGGTTGAATAATGGCAGCCCCTCTTTGCGCTCAATGCTGTCTGCAGTGCTTCTTACTATTGCAATGGCCACCCAAATCAACACAACCTGAAAGAAAAAGAAACATCTAGTTTGGAGGATTCGATCCAAATCAACACAACCTTAAAGAAAAGGAAACATCTAGTTTGGAGGATTCGCTATTGATATTTGAAAGAACTGTGGCTATAATGAATGTACTAGCTGATTATTACACAATAAAAGAACCAAGTAAACAGTACTCCGTAAAAATGCAAGGACAACATGCTGCCACTTCGGCAGTCATCAATAATCAATCAGTTTAAACAAATCAGCCGCCAGACTCAAAGTTGCACACAGTGCACGATATGAAAACTGCATGGCTAGTTAATTTTTTAAAAAATTTCAAATTGTGCTGCATTTGCTACCACTAGAAAAATATGTTTTAAACATTCAGCCTCTGCAGGGCATTCAAGGGTATGTTTAGGTCACAAGAAACATGGGTCATTAGAAATTTTACAGTTAAATTTTGGCTCAAGTGCACATTGCAATAAAATGGCACTTTGAGCCAGTTGGTACATATTCATCATGCATAAAGTGCAGTGTGCACAGGAACGACGAACAAATCGGAAGAAGGAAACTTGTGCATGGGATGCAGGATGAAGCATATAAACAAGTTTGTTGAGCATGAGGTGGAAACTGTACTGTCCAGCTGCCAAACCTACACTGGGCAGAGCGGCAAATGCATAGATTAAAAGAGCATACATGCACACTAACTGAAGATCGACCATCTACCCTCGCAGACCATTGCCACAAGTGTGGCTGCTTCCACCATTTTGAAGACACAATGATGCTAACACATCACAGACAGCAGGTAGCCAGAGATATGTTGAAGCCTTCCATATTAGAAAGAAAGAGGAGTCATGTGCCAGCAGCCAGTCGACCGACTTGAGTGACATTGAATTTTATTATCGAACACTTGCAAGAGATGATGTATCTAGGAAAAAAAACGTGACCAGCCTTTTGTAAAACAGCGCTAGTCGTGTTTGCTCCTTCCCTTTCATCCGTCGTTCCCATTGGCGCAGCACTTCACGCATGATCAAGTTCATTTGCAGGTTCTTCCAAATTAAAATTCATTTACCAGTCTTGTTCTTGTAAATAAAAGGCATAAAATTACTGCAATGAACCAGGAGTGACCAATGAGGCTAAAATACTAAACCTAACAAATAATTTGAGAAGAAGCAAGCTAAGAACTGCACAATAAGACATGTAACAAAAGAATCACTGTAGCAAAAATAAGGAACACAGTATAGGTCAGAGAGCAAACGGGCTGGCAACTTCTGAACCATTAAATGAAGAGAAGTGGTGCCCAGAGTAGAAAAGCATAACTAAAAAAGTTATAAATTACGTTTTATGGTGACATTAAAAAATTTACGAGCATAAAATGAGCAACTTGAGATCGCTTGGAGAGATGTTCATCTTGTAGTAAATACAAAATTATAACATTTACACTTTTACTAATTTACCAGTGTTTATCTGTCTGACCGATTTTCACAGCCAAAAACAGTCACACATGTTATTGCTTGGCAAAAGCCAGCATCCATCTATCAGAACATTTTAAAATGTTTTAAGTTACTAGAATGAGACTATGTGCATGACACTAACAGTAGAGTATTCTGAAGATTGTACAGGACTTTATCGTGTACGTATATTAATAGCGAATGCGTTAGGTCACCAGGCCGAACATTCGACAATCGATGACTGTGCTCGCCACTATCAGTGTACTGTGAGCGTTATATGCTTTTCACCCAAAAAGTTCACCCAAAATAAGTTTTAACTTTATTTAATGCCCCCCCCCCCCCCTTGCTGATGTATTCACTGCAATACCAACATTTCAATATATACAATGATGATGATGATGATAATAACAATAAACTGAGCATGAACGAGTTATAGATAATTTGTGCTACCATTACTTTTGAATATTTATTGATCTTGTACACTGTCTAGTGAACAGGACAACGTTATCGACTCTGGGAAACGACATCTTAAACTGGGGATACTGTCCCTTTCCAACAATTCTACCATTGGCTGACATATAAATAATGTCTCTTCTTCCTTTTCTTTGCACTTTAACCAGAGCACTCGAACCTATAGTGATGTGGCTTTGGTAAGTACAATGGTATGTTTCAGAGCATTATAGTAAATATTAATGATCTTGATTACGACTTCTTATTTTTAAACAAACTTATTAACAGAAACACTTTATTACCTTCCTATCCTGGAATTTAGTCATCTGAAATTTTTCTTGTAACACACAGGTAATCCTCCTCTGGTCAATTCTAAACAAGAAGGCCACTTGAGATGAACAGTAATCACGGCTGTATAATGATGTATCGGCTATAGCCAGTGACAGAGTTGCCACCAATACATGCATATGCAGCAGTAATGAAAGAATAAAATTCTTTGCTTTAGATACCCCAGCCACAACAACAGAAAGAATTTGGTCAATCAACAATAACTACAGCACGATTCTAAAATATTCTACAACACTGTTATGACACAACAATCATAACAAAATTGCCTCCCTTTGGTGGATGTATGTTACCGGAGAAAAAATTAAGGGAACATTTCATGTGAAATTTCAATGCGTGTTCCAAATTACCATACAAAAAGCATGTCTCTCTGGCGATTCTTCTCATGCTATAATTATAAGGAGCTACCGATGAAGCAAAGCTGTTAATTGCTAGTGACATTTCACTTTTATCACTACTCAATAAACTGGTTCGCACCAGCATGATGCCATCGGTTCACCTAACTCTAGCTCATTGAACTTTGAGCCGACTTCATAACAGCTTTAGTTTATCACACCATGTAACGTAATACTAATGCTTTCAACCAATCGGCTCTTTCACAAGCTATTCATTTGTGGAATGATTTGTCAAATGATCTTGCATCAGAGCAGGAGCACGCAAAGTTCTGCCATACTCTTAAAAAAAAAATTTGCGTACCGAAAACTGCTGTATTGCATTTTCATAATCATCTGTGCCTATAGGGCTGTTAGCAATGGTTTCTTTCCCTCCTTTCTCTGCCTTTTTAAAGACGATTCTTTCTCGGGGACCTTCGACGCAAAAATTTTGGTCTGTCTGTCTGTCTGTCTGTGTGTGTGTGTCTGTACATTTGTCTGTTTGTCCACTCTTACCGGCATAGGGTACTTGAAACGGCCGACCCCATCTGCAGCGACCACCAATGTTGCTCAAGGTTGAGCGTACATGCTTGTGCAATTGTCAATTGAAAAGCAATTATTGCGCATGTCTGGGGCACCATAACAACACGCATATATTCTGCATATGCACCTCTTACTAGAAAACGCATACATAAGTAATTTTAAGGACCGTAGTGCTTATCACGCTGCGCTTATCATGCAACGCTTGCACGGAACGGGGAGTGTTTCCAATGCTTTGCTAAGACGAGATGGTCGTGGCACCTACCTGTCGCCTCGTGTTCTACACCTTATCATTTCTGAGACGGGCGCGCACGGCCATGCTCTTTGTTTTCCAAAAGAAACTGCCAGATGCTGCCGATGTCTCACGTGTGACGTGACTTGATGCGCTCATTCCCCTTTGCTGCAAGCTCGAGGCACTCTAACGCAGCGCCTCCGGAATAAAATTCACCGATTTTCTTGCGCAGAACATCAAATAAATGTTTTGTTCACTCTCTCCACACGCAAGACTATCGATCGTCTTTCGACGACATTTCCAGATTACATACAGAAACGGGGCCATTTTTTTTTTGCCTTCTGTGCATTTGTTTGCAGTAAACTCATTTGTCAGTTTTCTTTTTTTGTTGTTGCACTATTGCTGGTTTATAGTTACTATAAAATTATGTTTTGCATTATAACTTACTTTTCTAGTATGTACTGTGCATATATGTTCAGGAGTTGAATTGTATTTTCTTTAAAAATCAATATATATATATATATATATATATATATATATATATATATATATATATATATATATATATATATATATATATAGTGGGAGTAATAATTCAATGGGCCAGTTAGTATTCGTGAAGGTATGGGATATGGCACAACGGGAGCGTTGTCAACAAGGATAAGTATATTTATTTCCCAACAGTTTTGCGAGGGGTCCTCCCTTCATCAGGGGACTCATCCCCTGATGAAGGGAGGACCTCTCCCGAAACTGTTGGGAAATAAATATATTTATCCTTGTTGACAACGCTCCTGTTATGCCATATATATATATATATATATATATATATATATATATATATATATAGAAAAGAGGTGTATACCTAAGGGCTCGTTTTTCCATGTTTTGACACAATATTAATGAGATTTAACAGACAATAATGTCGAGGAATGTACAGGGAAGTTATTAGATTAGAACCAATGTAAAGTAAATAAGAAGAAAGAAAAGTGGGTAAAAAAATAACTTCCTGCTCATGGCCAGTTATTTTTTCACCTGCTTTTTTTTCTTCTTAATTACTTTACATTGGTTCTAATAACTTCCCCTATACATTCCTTAGCATTATTGTCTGTTAGATCTGATATATATATATATATATATATATATATATATATATATATATAATCTGTGCCGCCCCAAAGTACTGTAAATAAATAAATAAAGTAAATAAATAAATAATCAGGCTTCTCATGTAGACACTTAAGAATGCTGGTAAGTTGTCTGAAGATATCTGGCAAGAAAACGGCACACTGAGCTTGTGGAAGCAGGTTCATTTTGAGTGAACTGTATCTTTTATACTATGTCGATGTTTCTTAAAGAAACATATGTCGATTGATTGATATGTGGAGTTTAACGTCCCAAAAGCATGATATGATTATGAGAGACGCCGTAGTGAAGGGCTTCGGAAATTTTGACCACCTGGGGTTCTCTAACGTGCACCCAAATCTGAGCACACGGGCCTACAGCATTTCCGCCTCCATTGGAAATGCAGCCGCCGCAGCCGGGATTCGATCCCGCGACCTGTGGGTCAGCACCTTAACCACTAGAACACTGCGGCGGGCAAGAAAAACATACGTCTTAGCTGTCTAATGCTTATGAGACGAAATTCTGTTAGGTTTTCAGTGAAGTAGTGAAGTGCATCGTAGCTTTCAAAAGCTGAAGATTTCATCTTGCTGCTTCTCCACAAGCTTTTTATCAGAGAAAGCGATCTCCCTGGCACAAAAAGTTGCTGATAAATGAAAGAAAACAGAAAGAAAAAGTAAGGCTTATTAAAAAACAAAACAAAAGAAACTTCAAAATATTTGAGAAGTTAAGATATCTTTTAGTGGCACAATGAACCTGTGCAATGAAGGAATATTAAACTGAAGCAGTGCCCACACTAAATAATGCTAACTTACTGTCTTGTTAATGTGAAGTCAACACTCAGAAGCTTTTTATGAAATCTATTGTGGGTGGATCTGTGGCATAATATGTTCTATAAGGATTTACACATTATGATCCACAGTGAATTGTTTGTTTGTGATAATATCTCAGCAGCCCTTTCCATATCCATTAATGTGCAGTGCTTTACAAAGAGCTTGATGTGCGACTTGGTAATCTGTGCAAGTTCCACAGATAACTGTGGAACTATGCTATTAAAAAACCATACACTGTTTCAAATGTAAAAACTTGCATTGGATATTGCTTTACAAGAAACAAGCCTCTCAGGACAAGAATACATACCTTCTGGCACAATATGAAAATATAATGATGCTGACCCAGCCAGAAAGTGTCCTGACAACAAAAACACAGTTATTGAGACGGGCAATTACCAGAGAAATAAAAGACATTTGGAAAAAACACTGTGTTTTTCTAAAAAAAATGGGGCACCAATATGCATGAAGCCCTTATTTCCTGCCACTAACTAAATGGTAAAAGTGAGACAAACACACACAGTTGCCCATTTCAAGACAGAACAAAGCAGAGAATAATGCACAGTTAAACATAGCCAAAGCATTCGAAAATCAATACAAACATGTAGTCAATTGAAGAATACAAACTGTCAGAACTTTCATATATGAACAACTAGAAACAAGCTTTTGACAGAAATACGAGATGTAGCAGCCTATTAACTTCTGTTAACCGCAAAGACAGGATTTTTGCTAAAGGCTGGAAGAATTGGGTAAACTGAACGACAGGACTTAAAATGAGAACAGCTGCTGTCTCTCTATTTTTTGAACTTGCAAACCAACACACACAGACAAACAAGTGTTTACACACGCAATACTACTAGACGTTTGTAAGAGCACACAAAGAATAAAAACTGAGATTAAATTGTATATTTTGAACTAACCTATCCTTCATCATGAGTGAATTTACAAGCACAAAGAGCTATATTTAAACACCTTCGCATTAAGGTAGTGTACATGGGTACAACTTCTGCCCTTGAAAAAAAATAAAAATATGTGCTTCCCATCCCTGCCCAATTATGTGCACATACAGTTCCTCCAAAAAGCACTTTTTACTGCAGGATTTAAATAAACAATACAGCCTTCCTCTGAGAACAATCCATAAAAAAGCTCCAAGAATTTATATTACGCATGCAATGAAACTGAGAAAGCAGCTAAATTAACAGAGCCTGTGTCATACTCACACCAAGGTATAGTTGTGCTGTTTGCCAATCACAGGCAAAAGAGGAAATATCCCAAGCACAACACATCCTATCAACCAGGTACAACACATTTTCTGAAAGATGAAAAAATAATACTTAAAATATAAGTCTACACCCTAAACGGTAGCCTTTAGGTAGCCTAAACGCCTTTAGGTAACCTAAACCTTTAGGTAGCCTAAACGGTAGCCTTTAGCAACAGCCATACGAAATGTACTTTTTGTTTGCAAAGTTGCATTTCTATCACAACAGTTCTCAATCTGGATTCTAAGGTCTTTTGAGCAAAATTCAGGGGATCAAGAAGCCAGATCAATTCATACATAGAAGGACTGAAAGCTGGGTAAATTAGGCGACAGTATTTGAACATATTTTAAAACAGCGCACAGTTACACGGACACAAGAGAAGAAGAGAGGCTGGGTTGTGCTTTGACAGAGATTTCACAAAGGATCGGTTTATGGCACAGGGTTCAACAAGCTCCACATGCCCCATGTCACGATAAGAGAGGGGTTGGGCAGTTTCCTTTTAACACGAAAATAGAGTGACTTGTTGAACGAGTTGGTTCATTCTTACGGTAGTTTTTAGCAGGAAATAAGCACGAGAGACAGACAAGCGCACATATAATGTTCGTCTCTTGTCCGGCGCTTGTCTGTCTCTCATGTTTGATTGATATGTGTGGTTTAACGTCCCAAAACTACCACATGATTATGAGAGACGCCGTAGTGAAGGGCTCCGGAAATTTCGATCATCTGGGGTTCTTTAACGTGCACTGAAATCTGAGCACATGGGCCTACATTTCCACCTCCATCGGAAATGCAGCCACCGCAGCCGAGATTCGAACTAACGACCTGCGGGTCAGCAGCCGAGTACCTTAGCCACTAGACCACCGCCGCGGGGCCATCTCTCATGTTTATTTTGGGCTAAAAGCTACCGTGACACGAAAGTGCTTCATGCTGGCATTCACCATTGTTCACTGACGCATTTCCATCACGAATATGATGTTGCAAAATATAGACTAACAGATGGCAAAGGAAAAAAACTTACACAAAAATCTTCCATTATCGAGAGTCAAACCAATGACCTCTCATTGTGCAGCGCATGGCGCAAAATGATTTGGCCAAGAACCGTACGTTCCTTGAAGTACTAATAGAGAGCTATTTATATACACCATTTACTATATAATAATAATAATTATTGAGGTTTAACGTCCCAAACCCACCAATGATTACGAAAGATGCCGTAGTGGAGGGCTCCGGAAGTTTCGATCACGCGGGGATCTTTAACCTGCACCTAAATCTAAGCACACGGGCCTCAAGCATATACCATTTACTGTGAGCATTACTTGGACATCAGCAGCTTAAACATATTTTCGTTATGATTAGCGAGATGGTGCGACATGCACAAGGGTGCACTTTAAAGGTTGTAGCTCCCTGTGTTGCAAAGCACACCCGTTTATTTATGGTGATCTCGACAGTTTTTATGCCTAGTGCTGGCGTTGAAAGTTTCAGAGAGCACAAAAGTCACTTCACTCACTGCAACGATCGCTTTTGTGAAAAAAGCTTGCTGCTCAGACTGCAGCAATTGTTATTTCACGTTTGCCCATGTACCTATATTTAGGTGCAAGCTAAAGAACCCCCAGTGGTCGACATTTCGGGAGCCTTCGACTATGGCGTCCCTAATAATCATATTGGCAGTGACTATGGTGACGGGGCCCGTCAGCGTAGTGTAATTGTGACTACAGTAACAGGGCCCGTCAGTGCAGTACTATTGTTAAAGTGAGAGGGCCTGTCAGCATAGTGTAATCGCGATTATAGTGACGGAGCCCGTCAGCGTAGTGAAATCGAAACAGTGAGGGGACGCATCATAATAACGATATAGCTATAGCAACAGGCCCCGTCACCGTAGTGTAATGATAAAAATGAGGGGGGCCGTTGCCGCAAATTTGTAGTCATTTTAGACACCACCGTTTAGCTGTTTTAGTGGTGTAGTGGCTTGACGCGCAGTTGATAAAGCGATGGTGCCGCAGGTCGTCAGTTTTAAGTACCGTTTTGTTATTTTTTACTTTATTCTTTCTTTTTGGGGTAATGCATCAAGATTGACGTTGCTGCTTTGAAGGAATTGTAATTTTGCTTTTTAGCAAGAAAAAAGTCATAGCTTTGCTGCAAAGGCGAAGCAATAAACACGATAACAACAAATTGGAAGGTCAGGCGCTGAATGGCAAGCAGATCAAAACGTGCCTCGCGTTTCTCATGCACAAATGACACACGAAACATACTCACAGAAACAGATGAATGTGAATAAGCATCTCAGTTGTTACATCGCTGCGCCTGACAAGCGCACCCTTTTCGTAAACGGACACTGTGAAAATATTGCAGTGACCTCTGTGCGCCTGGTAACTACAACAGAACGTTCCGGTGAAAGCCCAAGGCTAGCCAAGGCGTACGATTGTCCCCACCACGAGATAAACAAGTGCACGTATGAGCATCCCCTCTTCCCCTTCTCTGCGGGGAGTATGCAGGACGATGAGTGCGTGTGTCGCTGCGTCATGATGATGTGGTGACGCGCGCTCATTGCGCTATCTTGCTGGTGATGCTGAAGATACGAGCTTCTCTTAGATGCCCATCACCAGCGGTAAGGGGTATATATAAAAACCTTGCTGCCTGAACGTTGAAGGAGGTGCTCCTTCGTGGCTCAGTGGCTAACGCCTCGCACTCACAATTCAGAGGTCTGACGTTCGATTCCACGCGCCGGAGTATCTTTCTGGATTATCTTTTTTTTCTTGCGTTTTCATATATATAGATACATATATATATACGCTGAGTGACGGCGACTCCGGCGGCTAAATCCAGCCAAGAGTGTCCACATAATTGCTATCGCAATAAAATCATGTCGCCGTTTGTGCCAGTTTTAGACAGCTCTACCATGTGAATTTCGTGGTGCAGTGTCTTTGGTGTCCCACTTCAATTCGAATCGCACTCTTTTATTTTGTACTCTCAGTATTGTTTCAAGTATTGTGACTAGTTTTTAAATGATAATAATGTTTATTCATCGCGGATATAAATATCAACCTTCTTTTATATCCAACATGGAATGAAGACTTTTCCCCGATGATTTCCAATTGATACTGCACTGGGTGAGCAGATTCCGCTGATGGGTGAATTATATTTCCGTATAAACCAGACTATAGGTCGAGTGGGAATATAGGTCGACCTCCCAAGTTCAGGTCACCGAGAAAGAAAAAAAAGGAAATCAACCCAAAATTGCCGAACAACAATTATTTGCGAATAGAGCACACCGCACCCTAATCGTCGGAGCTCCCCTCAACCACCATCGCAACTGTTCCTAATCGTCAGACGAAGCACCACTGTCTTCTGAAGACGAGAGTTTGTCGCTGGCCGCCTCCCACAGTGCGTTGTATTCCGTGCCATACAGCCAGTTGCTGATGGACCATTTCTTAAAAGCATTTTCCACCATGGAATCTGGCAAGGAACGCCAAGCGGAAAGCACCCAGCCACAAACAGTCGCAAGCGGAGGCCTCAGTAGGTGGCCCGTCGGTGTCTTTGAGCTGTTGCCGGACATCCACTTTTGGTAATCCAGCCACACTCGGTCCTTGAACAGCTTGTTTAGCACAACGTCAATCGGTTGGAGGGAGGACGTAATACCACCTAGTATCACGGCGAGGTCCGTTTTTCCATCGCCCAGTGCGTGCTTCACTGCGTCGGTTAAGTGACCACAAAACGCATCTAACACCAGCATGCTGCAAAGATGCAGCAGTGTACCTGGCTGACAGTTCCAGACTACTCGTATCCATTTGAGCATCATGGCCTCGTCCATGTATCCCTTTTTGTTGACGCGAACGACAGCACCGGGCGGGAACACTTTCTTCGGCATTGTCTTATATTTGAAAATGATGAAGCGGGGAAGTTTTCTACCATCTGCCATGCATGCCACCATGACGGTGAAGCGCGAATGCTCATTGCCAGTGGACAACAGTTTCATATCCTTGGCGCCACGCTGCATGATCACGGTCGATGAAGGCATGTCAAACCGCACGGGGGTCTCATCGGCATTGTCAATCTGCCCCATCATGTCGTTCTGCTCCCGAAGCCGGTTCAAGAAGCCCTGAAAGTTTATAAGAAACTTCTGACAGATGGATGTGCACTACCGGAAAGAAAATCCTTCGCGTCTCATGAATCAACGCACCCAAGAGTTTGGTGCACAAAACTTCTTTCGTGAGCCCAGCTTCTCGAGCCAGTTCCACAGTTTTCTTGCGAATGGTATCCACGGTCACCGGCAGCGAGCACGTATGAACTTCCCACACAAGTTCCCTAGCATATTCTCCAGTGCGAATGCGGATATAACAACTGTGGCGAAGTGCGAATGAACCGCACTTCGCCTATGAAATAACATTTTCCGAGGATTGCACATCTGCAGGTTCCCTTTCTGCACCCTCCAATAGTGCACGCTTTTTTCTGATACACTAAAGCAGCACTGAGCAGCCATATATTCGCTTCTGCGAACTCAACAACCTCTAGTTTAAACGCAGCTGAGTACTGCCTTCTCGTACCGCTACTCATATTCAGTGAACGAAAAAAAGACCACTAAAAATGAAACACAATGTCAAGCGGAGCGAGAACTTGGAACAGATCGGAGGCAAATCACGAACACAAAAAAATTGACAAGAGAGAAAAATAAAAACAACCTGCTCTTGGATTTGAATGCGAATATGGCCGTGTCCAGCTTCTCATGCACATGCAAGCCACATGTTGCCAGACAGTGGTGCACTGTGGGCTAGACACCGCTATATAAGATGAGGGGCGACTTTAGCTCGTTGTTTTCTTGAAAATATCTCGACTTATATTCCGGTTTATACGGTTATTTTTGCATAGGAAAACCAGCTCCGTCAAGGTTTATGTCACTTTGTATTTATACTGTAGCTACAACTAATAATTTGTTACACATAATGTGATGTTCCTAAATCGATCTGTTCCACCTATTTTTGGTGTCTCTGCATAAAGGGACATATGGGCTGATTCTAAATGTTGTGCAGGTTAAGATAGAATGTGTTTACAGCCCTGA